GAGAGAGGGGTGCAAAAGAGGAGAGCTTTGAAGAGGTTAACGTGTGCAGACAGTTGAAAAAAGAAGCAGCTGAAGACGACGTTTTTGAATGCATTTTCTCATGGATGATTCTCTGCTGATTAACATCAAAATTCCGATGTGTTTTTGAGCTCAACTTCATTCTCTTCGTACTGGTAACCTAGCGGTGGGACAAGAAGAAGAGAAAGGAAAGCACAGAGATCACCGCCTGCCTTAATGGGCCTAATATTGCTGAAGACACCGACAAGGATATAATGGGACCACTTTGGTTAACTTTAATGGGCTTCATTCATGTAATTGCCTTGAACTTAGAAATTCCTATGTCAGATCAACTGATCTTTAAATCAGGATTACTTCTTTCATTTCCACCTTAAACATGTATATTGTTTAGATTTCAACCTATCTTAAATCATAGAAGATAATAGCCTAATACTATGAAGATTAAACTATGTTCAGGACGGAAATGACTCTAATGAACTTTATTTTATTACTTCAATTATCATTTTAAACTAACCCAATTTTATATAGACTTTATTTAGTATTATGAGTTGTACAATTTTTGAATCTCAGTCCATCCTATATACATGTATAATATATGTGAATGAAGCTAAATCTTAAATGTTTCTCTCCACCACTTGCATGCAGTACAGTATTAGTCGAATTTATAACCTAATGTATTAATAACAATTGAATAGAATAGAATATATATCCTATAGTCCTCAACGATTAATAACATACCAACGAGGCAAAGGTCGTTCACACACAAAGAACAGGATCTAAAGCTTCACTGCCATACGTACGTCAACAAACTAAGCTTGAGGTCGCCTACCTTTTAACCTTCTAGAAATCATTATTCAAATTCTCAAAGTTTATGGTTGGAATTTTATATTATGATTTGATCTTAAAATATTATGATATATTTTTATCAACAATTTCTAGAACATGTTGTTAAAAGTTCTCAGTTAACAATTTTTTTTAGATTGTGAGTTCGATATCTATTATGAGCAAAATTTTCATTCCACCTTCCCTAAAGTAGAATTGTTCAAAAATTAAAACATTATGAAAAGATTTATTTGGTGAAAAAAAAGGAAATTAAGAGACAAATAGAATATTTATATTAGATGTAAAGATTTCGGATCAAATCGAGATACAAGAACATATTTGTGATGTGGACCTTGTCATACATCTGATCTATATAAGACTACATTTCTTTTATGATTTCTTGATTGAAAGTAGAACTTTGTATTAAGAAGAACTCGTTATAATACTAAATTTCTTCCAAATCAAATAATCAACTTTATAAATAGATAATATGAATTAGAGTTATAGTAAGACGTAATTTTTGAATTCGCGTGAGAAATTGTATTCATAAATCCTTATTATTTTGATATACATTGAACTCAACACTGCCGCAGATGCATTATCTCCAGAAGCTGAGGCAACTTTCATGTCTTTCTCTCGACCACTCTTCGGTATCTTAGATGACATCCGTGCAGCCAGTACACAAGATCCAGATAGTCAACACACATTCGAACTGCTCTCCGAGAAGGTAAAACTGATTACATTGGGTATGAGGAACATGATGGGTTATTATTTGGAGGGCGAATTCTGGTGCGAAATGAAACTGCCCTTCGATAGTTGTTGTTTGTTGTTGAGGGAATTTCATAGCTCTTTAGTAGGGGACATGCTGGCATCACACGCACCTTTCAGCGATTGGCTGTTAACTTTTATTGGAAAATTAGCTGACTCTTATTTCCATATGTAATGGGGTAAGGAGAGATAAGATAGTAAGTTGCTCCCAACGTCAGATTAAGAGCAGTTTCCGTGGGAGACCTCTAAATTATGAAATGCCCTCCGTAAGATTTGATTCCATGACCTCCGTAAGACTTGAGCCCACGACTTCAACAACCTCAAGATTAAAAACCTTGTGCTCTACCAACTGAGTTGGATAGGCATTTCTGTTTTTAACTTTTATTGGAAAGGAATGCGAAAAGCAGTTCGACAGTTAGTTACTGAGTGTAAAATTTGTCAACGCATGAAGAGTGATAGCTTGGTGCGAGCCGGACTCTTGCAGCCACTCCCTATTCCTAGTCAAGTATTTGAAGACATTTCTTTGGATTTTATTATGGGGTTGCCAACTTCAAATGGAAAAGAGACTATCTTAGTTGTCATCGACAGATTGACCAAATACGGCCATTTTTTCGCTCTTCCCCGACACCTTGACTGTAAATATGTGGCTAAGGATTTGGTTCAAGGCGTGGTGAAACTTCATGGAATCCCGAGGACAATAGTCAGTGATAGGGATCGGATTTTTGCTAGTGAATTGTGGACAGAAATGGCCGAACTTCAGGGAACAGAGTTGTGTTTAAGTTCGGCCTACCACCCCCAAACGGACGGTCAAACTGAAGCTTTAAATCGATGCTTGGAAATGTATCTTCGATGTATGGCTGGTGACGATCCGAACAAGTGGGAACAATACTTCGCATGGGCGGAGTATTGGTACAACACTGCGTACCACGTATCTGCAGGAATGACCCCTTTCCGAGCATTATACGGGCGAGATCCTCCTACCAACCTTTCTTATTTAGAAGGCGGTTCTTCGAATGCCCATGTAGATCAAGCCTTAAAAGATCTTGATGACTTGCTTCGTGTTTTGAAACACAATCTAGTGCACTCTCAAGGCCGAATGAAAAATCATGCAGATAAGCATCGTCGTGAGCTGGTATTCGAAGAAGGAACTTGGGCATTCCTACAGCCCCATCGGCAACTATCACTACGGCTACGACGACACCAAAAGATTGGACCACAGTTCTTTGGTCCTTATTGAGTTCTCAAACGCGTTGGTCCTGTCGCTTACAAACTGGATTTACCAAATTCTAGTCGCATACATCTAGTTTTCCACGTGTCGCAACTCAAGCCATGCAAAGGTCAACCTCTGCAACAAATCACGCCCTTGACATTGCTGCAGACTGATGTTTTGCCATCTGTTGATTCTGCTAACCTTGAGGACAAGGTCGTTCTTCCAGGAGGGGGTAATGTAGTGGATAAGACTGGGGCAGTAGCAAGGGGAAATGAGAACACATCTATGAAGGGAGTTAGCAATCCACAACGGTCACCAAGGACATCCGAGAATTGTGTAGGAGCCCAAGGGAGAGAAAGACAGCCAAGGCCTTAACCGATTTTGTCCGTTTCTGAGAGTTGGGAATATAAATAAGAACGTTTTATACAAAAGAGATATTATCTGTAATCCTTGAAATTTTCCAATTTTTCCTTAATCTACTATCTTTTAGAGATTCGGACTTATTAGTTTTGTGACCTAAATTACATATATAATCTGGTTTAAAGAGTTCATGTTGTGATCCAATTGATGAATAAATAAAATTTGAGAGAAAAGAAAAGAGGATTTGTGATGGATGGGCTCGTGCTTGTTGCTTATCATTGACTTTGTCAGTGGTGAGAAGGCCAAGCTCCTGCGATATGGACGTCGTTGTACATCCAATTGTACAAGATTATGCTTGTTTTATTAATGTTCATCTGGAAAAAGAAAACTGGTTTTATTATATTTTTTCCTATGCAAATTTCGTTTATAATCCTATAAATTGTTAACATGGCTTAGGGTTTTCTCACAATTTCCTTGTATTATTTTAACATTATAATGAATCTTTTTTCTTTATCCGTAATTTTTTTGTCAAAAGATTTTCTACTAAAATATAGATATCTCTTTTATATCATAATATCATTATATTTATCTCGATCTTTTTGAACTAATAAAACGATTTCATTTTATGCTCTCACATCATAAAAGTTTAATCGAACCGAGTAATTACAACTTTACCGGTGACACCATTAGCCACGTAAGCTAACAAGTTTGTATTTCTTTACCCCGAGTTATGACAACTATATAGTCTTCATACATAATTTCAATCACTAAAAATTGTCTATTTCATTTTTTATGAGAATTGTTCTTCAATTATTTTCATGTAAGTATGAGAACGGGTGATTATTTGAAAGTTAATCATGAATGGATGAATTAGTGACATAAAGAGGTAGGTCACTTTTGTTAGTTAAAATCATAAATGACGTAATAAAGAAGGTTGATGAAATAATTTTTTAGTTAATCACGATTAATATAAAGTATTATTTGATTAAGAATGATAAAGTGAAATATTTTCTTTTTTGTTGTTCGTTGCATGAAGACAATGTAGTAAGTAATTATATATTAATGGTATGAAAAGTCAAAGCTAGGTTTGTTCTCAAAATCTGGATAAAGAAGACTGGTACCGTAGTTACCCGGTTAAGGCTTTAAAGGACTCAAAAAGTCAAAAACCCCATGCATGATTGAGTCCACGTGTCCCTCAAATGCTGACGTGATGAAACATTAGGGTCGCTCTTACGACGGATAATAAAAGACACAACAAGAACCCCGCCATGCTTTTTTATTTGTGGTCCCCCACGCCATTGGTCGACACGTGCCCTTCTATTTTCATATTTTATTTTTAAGGTCAATCCCGCCATTACCATAATCCCCCGTGCAAAATTACCTACTTTTTTTTTTATCACACTACCTGAAAATACAATACCCCTTACAGGTGGCACGTACACGTGTCCTATTCACGACCTCCGACTTCGTCGTGGCCGGAAAGCCCGCCGATCTTTGACATCCCCCTGTCGGTATCTTTGAAACCAAAAGCTTTCTCTCTTTATCATATATATTATTAATATTTTAACAGTTGAATTATATTTTAATTATGTCACTATTTAAATAATATATATAACATAATTAGAATAAATGAAATAATAAGACGAGTAATCTAAGTAAGACAATGATTACATAAAATAATGGACATGTCAATAATAGAAACTTTTCAATATAATAAAAAGATTTTACAAGAAAATGCGGGAGAGAAAGGATCTTTGCTTCCCAATACAGAAATCTTAAAGAAAATTGCAACAAATTAAAAATTATCAACAATCCCACATTGAATCTGATCAAAAATATGGGATCTGATCAAACTTGTAAATGTTACTGCTATAGCTTTCTCTTTCGTCTTCAGTGCTGCTACTGTTAAAGTACGTTGAATTCGAATTCAATGGTGTCGGACTCGAAGAATGCGTCGATAGAACCGACGCAAAGCTGAAGCTCGGGTCGGATACGTAATAATTGTTGTAGTTTGCCGGTAACGGCACGTAATCTTCAGTCAAATCTTGTTGCCAGCTGCTGAAGTCGGCAACGTTTGATTGGAACTGGTCTACGTTAGGGTTTATCATCAACTGTACTTCGTTATTTGAAAATGGAACACTACTACAAGGAGGAGTACTCAACGAGGTGCAAGCTGGTGGGATTCCTTGGCCCTGCATCAATGGCGGATTATATTGGTTTTGGACTTGGCTTTCTTCAATATCTTGAAAAACAAAATCTGGGTTTTGGTTTTCACGTTGAGATGAGATGAGAGAACTGGCTAGCCTTAGAATCTCAGGGTTAACAAAAGATTGAGCTCCGAGTAACCTCGCCATGTTCATCTGAGACTTGTTGTAAAGAGAAGAACTTAAGATCGAGGAAAGGTCAAGAAGATCGAGCCGTGGATTATGTGTCACCGGATCGATCCCCATTCGGAGAAGCCTTTTCCGAATGTGTGTGTTCCAGTAGTTCTTTATTTCGTTGTCTGTTCTCCCGGGCAACCGAGCAGCTATGGAAGACCACCTACATACACACGTGTACGAAACAGAACATAAGAAAAAAAGAGAAAGGAAACTGATACCAAACACCAGTTGTGTGTGTCAAATGGTAAGAAAACTCACTTGTTGCCCAATACACTGTGGAGCTGAATAATAATAGTTTCTTCCTCCTCGTAAGAAAACCTCCCTCTCTTGACATCAGGCCTCAAGTAATTAGTCCATCGGAGACGACAACTCTTTCCACACCGTTGAAGCCCTGTAGTTTTAACAATCGATCAAAAAGGTCCTTATAACCATAGGTATACACATTACAAACACTTACAAAAGCTTACCTGCATTCTTTGGTAATGTTCTCCAATTGCCATAACCATGTTTTTGGATGTAATCGATCAATTTCTGATCTTCCTCCGGTGTCCATGGCCCTTTTTTTAGCCCAGTTTTCTCACAGCAAGGTGATCTGCCCATGATGTTAACACAGTTTAACAAAAGCTTTGGTTAATTAGATTTGAGTCGAGAGATGATTTGAAGGAGAAATGATGCGCAGCAAAGGGATGTAGGGTCCGTATTTGGGACGTGCGTGTATAAATAAGCAAGAAGGTAAGGGGTGAAAGAAGCCGAAATCTAAGTCAAAAATATTGGGTACCGTCCTCTGTTTATCACTGTGGTAACGTGTCCTCCTTTGTGATAAAAATGATATTTTGGCTTTGGCCCTTTTACTATACTCAAAGTTGGGATTTAGTCCCAATATTTTTTTAATTTGGTATAAACACAAGGTTAAACTACACTAATAGTCTACACTAATAGTCTACGAACTTTTAGGATGCTTTCACTTTGATCACTGAAATGGAAAAACTTTTATTGAAGAAAGACAATTAACGTGACATGTTAAAAAATCTTTAAAAAAACTCGACAATTATCGTTTCTCCTTTCATAATTGTTCCTTCCGGTGCTCGGTGGTCTCTATGATTAAAAAAACTATTGAACTACTTTTCTTCTTCTCTTTCTTTCCTTCAATTCAAATTCGTCCAAAAACTTTTCAGTTTCTTCAAATCACAATCGAAACTAAAAGTTAAAACTTTTTGATTTGTCACTGATAATTGAATGTTCAATTTGAAATTGAATTATGTTAATCTTTTGGTCAAAAGAAACCTTTCCACTGTTGGGATTGACCAATGACTGTTCTATTTATTGGAACCATAAGATTGATTGTGATTTATGTTTAAAAAGTTCGGCGAGGACAGTTAAAGTGTCTTGAAAATTCAGTGACCACTAGTGTAGGTTACTCTAAACATAACTTAGTTTGAGCAGGGACCAAACCCCTATTTTGACCAAGAAAACTGTGAAGTCTGTCTCTTTCTTTTGGGATTAGATTTCGTCAAACAAAATCTAAAAATCTTCCATTTTTAATTAGCATTCCCTTAATAAGTCTGAATTAGGGGAAGATAGCCCATTGCAATTAATCATAGCCCATCGTTTTCCCTGGCGTAGGGAGAGTGTTCCACTCCTAACTTTCTGGAACCATATTAGCTGTCTCCAACATACAAAAGCCACGTGTCCACCCTCTTTATTTTGTTCTTGCAATTTTCACAAAGATTTTGGCTTCACAGGACTTGATTTTAAGTTAAAGCTTAGAAACATCTGAGTTGTGATTCCACAATGACTGGTTTGCCCATGAATGCTGATTTGCTGGACGAATTCTCTTCTCACTGCATGAGGGTAATCAAGCCATTTTCCTTTCAAAATACTTTTTATTACTCAATTGGTTTTCTTGTTATTTAAATAGTAAATGCTTGTGGAAGCATTGAATTTGAGGATGACAATAATGGAGTTTGGTTGTTTGCCGAAATATATATATATGCGTGTGTACATTTATTATATGCATAGAGAGAGCCCCCAAAAGAGTTCTCCTCCAATGGATTTCAAGACAAGACTTCAAACTTTTAGGTTGAATTTTCATAATATATGTTTTCCTCGTTCAGTTATTAATATTTATTTTGTTGATTAATTATTTTAGATGGAATAATATAAACTTGTATTATCAAGACCATCTTATCAACATAGTTTACTTTATTTTTAATTCAATTATTGACGCTATTATCGCTATGAATCATCGAATCGTCTAAAAATTCTAATCAAATTAATTGTTTATTAATGATTTTTTTTATCTAAATCAAAAGAGGTAAATCATAAAAGTTCAAACTTTGATTTAATAGCTTTTATTATAATTTGATCATTTGCAACCCATACCTAGGGATGGGCATGGGTTGGGTTAGATCATGTTTTTGGTCCACCCGACCCAACCCGAGAACAAGGAGTCCTCCACCCGAGATCCGATCCGACCAAAACAAGTTTTCACCCGACCCGAAACCGACCCGATATATAACTTAAAATCCCGACCCGACCCAATCCGAAATAATAAAAAAATAATTTTATTCAATAAAAACAGTGACTAAATTGAAAAAAATATATATAGAGGGGTATTATTGTAATTATTCCTAAATATATAAGGTAAAATTATATTTTTTTCGAGTCGGATCATATATTTTTCACCCTAAACCCGAACCCAACCCGAACATCACATTAAAAAAACCCGACCCGATCAGATCGGGTCAAGTTGAAACCCGTCGGGTTTGGATCCCATGCCCATCCCTACCCCTACCTTTCATTTATACATTTTTTAAGTGGTATAAATCTCAAAAGTTACATGTGAATTTGATATATGAATTTTGATTTTGAGCCGTAGCATTGGGCTGTTAGATTACTACGTGGGCTTGAAATACTCCTTGTGATATTGGATTTTCTCCTAATTTGATATCACGGGCCTGTTATATCGGTGGTTAAATTAATTAGATTATTGATCTTTTACATATAATTTAATTTAATTAAATAAAAAATATTAAAAACTTCAAATCATATTCGATCAACTGAATTATCAAATTTTTATAGTTTAAAGATAATTTTGTAATAGTTTAATAATTTTAAACATCATTCTGTAATGATTTGATAAATTTTAATAATCGTTTTATAACTTTTTGAAGGAAAAACAATAACAGTTTTGTAATATTTGAAAAGTTATTTATCAGAAAGTAATTTTATACAATTAGGTGATATTTAATATAATTTTATCTTCTATTTCTTTTATGGTAAGCTGCTGCTTCTATCTATTATTAGTCCCATAACCAAACAATTAATGAAAGAGAAGTCCCAACAAACGATATAAATCTGGCACTAAATTCCTGCTGCACTTTAAGTTTATAATAAGTTGCAGGAAAAAATATTATTAACTATCGATAATTGATTTATTAATCGATTTATTTAAATGATAATTATCAATTTAATATAATTTATAATATTATAATTCAAACGAAGAGACTTTAATTATCCTTCACAAAAGCAAATTAGTTGGATTGCCAAGAAACACTGAAAATATCTTCACCCACCCCCAGAGCAGAATCTTAAACCATCCGAAAGCAGACAAAGTCTTATTAACGTCCAAATCAAACGTTGGTACAGCATGGGCCATGACATTTTGCATCGTCTTGTTCCTATCCCCTTATCCAGAATCTTCGCGTTCCGTAATAAAAGCCACACAAATCCACTTTAGCCCCTCGTTTTCCTGCCTTTTGCCGCTTGTTTTCTTCAAAACAATCGTCCTTCAACCTCTATATAAACAAGCCCCAAGTTCCGCCATTAATTCTCCAAATACTTCAGCAAAGAAAAGAGGAAGAGATTTTTGTTTGGTTTTTGAGCTTGAGATACGCGAGCAGGGTGTTTTTACCAGTTAGGGATGAGGGTGGTGCAGTTGATGAAAGATCATGCATCCAAGTGTGAAGCTAATTTAAGGTCTCTCAAAGATTCCGCTTCTTCTTCTTCTTCTTCATCATCATCATCTTCGTCTTCTTCTTCAAAGCAAGCGAGGCGTTTGTCTAGTACGGTCGATTTCAAGGGGCCGGCCGCCAAGAACGAGCGGCTGAAGCGGGCGGAGGAGTCTCTCAGGACCGTCATGTTCTTGAGCTGCTGGGGTCCTAACTGAGATCAAACTACTGTAAAAGTTCTTGCATGTATATACATATACATATATAGTTACTCTCATGTATGAACTATAAACTATAAATATGATCTGTTTGAGGATTTTGTATTTGGCTTTTTATGTCAATCTTTCTTTCCTCTAACAATCAGTTACGTTCAAATCGTGTTTCCATGTCTTCTTTCCTTTAACTGGATTCTATCTTTTCCTTAGATCTTTCTTTTTGGTTCTTGTTTGTGCAGAGCTTATTTTTGCTCTGAATTGCCATAAGCAGCAGGGACGAATCTAGACCAAAGTACGGGGTCAAAATGTTTAATTTTAAAATAATAAAGATCTAAAATGATATTATACCAAAAGCATCATCAATCATTTCGCTTGATTTTCACAAATTTTGAGTATGAATACAGCTTTCAATTAAATTATTATTATTATTATTAAAATATCATACTCATAACATTAATTAAATAACTTTTCTTTTGAAGTCACATACAACATGTTTAGACAAATTTATTTTAATATATACTTTGTGTCAAGTCATTATTTATTTCATTTTAACCTAAATCATGCAAATATATAGCATGTAATTATTAAATAAATTTAAATGCAAGTATAATTCAAGAAATTAATATGGGGCAGAAAATGTCAGTATGGAACAGGTTTCTATATCCAATGTTCATTTTCTCTGGTATAAAATAAATTCTCAATTTTCCCCTTCAGATTTTAGAATGAAATACATTAATTTCACTAAATTTAAATCTTTTATTTTATTTTATTCTACTTGATCGGATGTTTATCCTTATAAATAACATTGAAAATCAATGGTATGTATTATAAACCAGAAGCTACATTTTGAGAAGCAAAGAAGACACAATTAAATCCATAGGGAGTAACACTTCCTTTACACCTTGCCCTCCATTAGGGCAATCGAGGTCTTCGACGAATCGGGACCAGTACCATTGCGACTTCCATACTGGGTTCGTTTCTTCCATCGGTATACCCTTTGTTTCAGGCAAGGCAAGAAGCAGAACACGAATATGGGCATTACCAGCACGAAAAAAGCGAAGAACAGGAAGAGCCCGAATTTCAAGTGGCAGAGCATGAACACCTGAGCCACCGCGAATGTGAAGAGCATGTTGACGTAGACTTTGATGCTTTGTGCGGCCGATCGGATTTCCAGTGGGAAAATTTCACGGGAACTAACCAACCCAGGGGTCCCCATGACCAGGCGAATCCGGCCACGTAAATGCATATGAAAAGCACCACAACAATGGCATACCATTTGGGTAACTCACCGGGGTTTCCACTTATTCCAAACTTCGCACCAATGCAAGCTGCCACAATTCCCTGGCAAAAAGCAACAAAGATAGAGCATTTTAACAACAAATTTTCATGTCTAATTTTGATGGTTAACAAAAATATTAAAAGTACCTGACAGATCAACATTTGAACACCACCCTCTAGGAAAAGGAATCTCCTTCCCCACTTGTCGACCCCATAGATTAAAACAACCGTTGCACCGACGTTAAAGACACCGGTAATCATCGCGGA